CTCTCTCTCTCTCTCTCTCTCTCTCTCTCTCTCTCTCTCTCTCTCTCCCTCTCTCTCTCTCTCTCTCATTACCGACATCACACAGTCTTACGCTGTCGCGAGATTTCACGTAGTCAGCGAGGATGCACGATTCTCCGATCGGGGAGAAGTCGTTTCGAATATTACCGATTTTATCCGCAATTCGAAATCTCCGAATATAAAATTTTGTTTCCTCCTTACATCCAGCGCGACCCACTGTGCAGATACCGTGGATCGATTTCTCATTTGCTTACGTGCCATCGATTGAAACGCGAGCAGCAGAACGCATTAAATTGAACGACGCTACGGGCGACGGTGAATCCGAGAAGCGAAATATTTTCCGATGGCGGAGAGTCGGTCATGCGGATATCCGAACTCACACACGGAAAAAAGGCCGGTCGAAAATCGTCGCGCTCTTTCGCAAATAGAGTGGCTCGTATTTCGAGCAACATGCGTTCGCGCGCGTTAATCGATCTTCGCACAGTGTTGCGAAGAGCCCGTTTTCATAGAAAAAAGCTACTAAATGAAACGTAGCATAGAAGATTTTTCTCTTTGCAAGTACAATATATGATAAATATGATAAAATGCATAAATAACATAAATCTAATAATATGATAAAATATGATAAAACCCATAAATAACATAAATTTTTTATCAAACACCAATCTGATAGTTCTGGAAATTGGAGCGAATCAAAGGAACTGCAGAAGCGTAAAATTGTACCTATATTATAGGCTCATATCCTTCACAGTAAATTAGTATTAGAAAATTGAATTCATAGTTTAAGTTGAATTCATATCTATGCATTGGTCTTCTGATAAACTAGTACTAGTTTTCGAATGTCTTTATATTTTTTATATACGCATCATAATCCAAATTACTTGATAAATGCTTAATTATGTCACATGCATTGAATCACATTGTGTTAATGTTGGTATACATTGTAAATTCAAGGCATTATATACATGAGAAAAAAACTTTCTACGCAAGTGTGCGCCTAAACGATTTAGAAGTGGAAAAACTACAGCCAGAATGCAAGTGCCGAGCACGAGCACTAGTTACTCCAGTTGAATCCAGCAGAAATTAATGGACAATGGACATTTTTGAGACAGAAATATAATTACTATTAACATTGTTTTATTAATTGTGTTGTCACGATCTGTTTATCGGTCGGACAACCGTTTCGGGATCGGTGCCGGTGTTCACGGGTTCTTGCGAGAGGCGAGCGACTCCTGTCTCGTGTGTGAGTGTGAGTGAGTGTGCGAGAATTAACGAAAAAAAAAATAAAAAAAATGATTTACTGAGTTACTCTATACAGTTAACGGGGACGCGGGCGGCAGGTTTCGCGAACGGAATTTACGACTAGAATGACTTAATTAAAGCTAACGTGGACTTAGTGCTACACTTATGGCTATCTTAATCCTAACGCAGACTTACTACTAACTTAATGCTAATGGACTTAATACTTAATCTAATCGCGGGCGCGGCGGTCGGAGGTCACGGCGGTCGGCGGTCGGCGGTCGCGGCAGCGCAGTCTCGGTACGAGCGATATCTCGGTACGAGCGGTATCGCGACGGCATGGTCGGTCTCAGTAGTCTCTTGTCGCGATGCTTGTGAGTCGCCCAGGGTATTGGGGAGCCAAGACAGAGCTTGACAGAGACGGTGAGCGCGCCACCTCTAGATCCCTTGCTCCTGGAGCGGATCGGTCAGTCGATGAGCGCACCGACTGGGATCCCGAGAAGGCGTTTGTCGACGACGTCTGCCTCCCGAGTCTCTCTTGCCGCTATCGCGTGCGGCTTTTATATCCGCCGACTCGCGAATTCCCATGGACGTAGTGTACATGGACCCTGCATACGGCCATAAAAGTGAAGCTAATATGTACAGCCCCTCCGTGTTCTCTGTCTATTTCTGCACAGACAAAGTGTGCAATAAAATTTAAGTAAGACTTTTACTTGCCAGTCTAGTCGGGGTGCTGTTGCACTCTATAATATTATGGAAACGAGAAATGGATGCACGCGCAACAAAAAAGTGACAAAATAGGGAGAAAAGCATAGCCCCTCTATTCTAGCTCTCTTTCTAGATGTTGGCTTCACTCTTTTAGATGACAGAGCATTCGGAGTCCATGTATACTATGTCCATGCGAATTCCGCACGTATGCCATCCCCGCTCGGAGAGCAATCGGCGGTGTTATCGCGAGCCGGCGGTGTGACAATAAATTGTAAAACAAATTGTTTAGGCGCGTAGCGCCGTATGTCGCGGCTCGATGGTTGGTCGGTCGCACAGTAGTAACGAGGTGAAAAAAGTCTCGTCACAGTTTTTATTTAATAATTTGTGATTTTTGTATATTTTTTGTATTAATAATTTTATTAATAATTTTTTTGTTTTACCTACTTCTATAATGTTTACTTTATTTTAATATGTTTACATATTTTTACTTTAATATATATGTTTATTTATAAGTTGTTTTAATGTTGTTAATTAAGTTTATTTTAGTATGCGTTTTAGTATTTTCGTTTTAAATGATATAAAATATCAATCATATTAATCATATCAATAATATTAATATACAGGGTGTCCCGCGTAAGGCGGACCAAAAGAAAAATATAAGTAGAACACATAAAAATGAACAAAAATTGTATAGGTCATTTTTCAAACAACCACGTAAAATTTCGAGATATTAATTAAATGTGCTAAGTTGGACAAATTAGAACGCGCGATGCGACAGGCGGGACATACGGCTCTCAGCGGTCGGCGAAGAAAATGGAAGAACGCACACGTACACGGACGTACACACGGAGCTACTTATTTCAGTATGCCAAACAGCCCACCTCTCTGGCCTGTAAGATAAGCCCGCGAGCAATCATCCATTTTCTTCGCCGGCCGCGGCGAGCCGTATGTCCCGCCTGCCGTGTCGTCGCGCTCTGATATGTTCAACTATTTTAATTAATATCTCGAAATTTTACGTGGTTGTTGTGAAAAATGGCCTATATAATTTTTGTTCACTTTTGTGTGTTCTACTTATATTTTTTTTTTGGTCCGTCTTACGCGGGACACCCTGTATATATATATATTTTTTTTTTCGCAATTGATATGTTCCCTCATTGTCGTAATTGTTCCAAATGTGGTCATATAAAGGAAACACTGTTTTCCATATATAATTTGGTATGTAAGATTTTAGATTGATATCTTAAAGATTTCAAATACCGATTTTTATATATAAGAATAAGAACGGGCACTGCGCAACACTGTGCCGCGATTAACACACAATAAAGCTGCTTTTGCGCGTCGACATTCGCGGCCACGGGGCCATTAACTATGTTCGTAACACGGAAGTGCGCGCGCGTACCCCTTTGCCGCCACTTCGGCGGTAATTACATCGACAAAAGTCCTTGACATCGGTACGGACAATGGGTAAATTCGGTGGTTCTCTCTCTCTCTCTCTCTCTCTCTCTCTCTCTCTCTCTCTCTCTCTCTCTCTCTCCGACCTCGGTTTTCGCAAACTCGACTAACTTCGACCCCGTCCCCGTTCTCATTTCCCGAGTACGAAACTATCGACCCACCCAATAGCGTAGGAATTTGTTTTTGTCGACACGAGCGCGCGAAGGAAGTCGATGCTTCGAGGCGATACCATCCGACCATTTGCATTTATCCGCGCGAGTGGAATGCGAGCCGGGATTCGAAGGGACGCGGGAGTAATTTCGAAAAGCTTGTAAAAGTAACTGGATGTTTGTACTGGGTGATTTATCTTGGAAACTAAGAAAGGCAATACTGGCTCGAATTATACAGCACGGTGCTGTCAATTAAAGCAAGCTCGTAAATGGCAGGTATATACAGGTATTTATATCTACCCGTATTTGGCAGGTTAGCTCTAACGAGACATCTGATTTCTATGCAAAATTTCTTTGATAAAAGAGAAGTGTTAACAAGAACGTTTTCTTGCCTATGCTGAAGCTTTTGAAAATTATGTTGCTTATATCTACTAATTCATGTCCTGAGTACTTTAGAGGAAGTTATTTAGAAGAAATCTTTTAATATTTTAGACTTCCGTGATGTGTGACGAAGCCGAAC